TATAAAGAACAATTTAGCTACAAATTATATAAATACTTCATTGGACGACAAAATTCCAATCATCACAAAATTGTTTTCTGAATTCACTCCGGGAAGATGGCAAAAGTGTGACGACCACGTACAGAAAATCGAGAACCAATATTGGGACCACGATATGAGGTTTGACAATGTAATAGACGAGTTGATCATAAACCTGGGAAACGATTCAGATTCTGAGGAGGATATGGAAATTGAAGACATGTATAGTAATGAAGAAGAAGAAGATATGGATTAATTTTGTGCTATAATGGATTTCGCTATAGAACTATAGCTGGTATACCAACTGGTCCACTAGCTTTATTCATGTCTAGACACCGCAAGGTTTTAATAACCTCCTTATTTGTGATACGAACCCACAGGTCGAACATAGAATTCTCGCAGTAAGGTAATTTAGGTTTAATTTGGGTGGTGAGTTTAGAAAACTGTTTTGTATTATAAATAATAAAATCTAATTAACGCTTTTAAATACGTGTTAATTTTTGTTTAGCCCGGAAAATATAAATAATTTACCCATTATGTTAATTAAGACAGTTTCTAACATGGTTATCCGGAGATTTATCTGTCCTTAAATATCTCGTGTGCGTCTTGTCAATCGCGTCCTCCCCCGTCTCGCCGCTTGCATACCTAAGGCGATGACTAGCACTTCCGCGCAGACTATAGTTTTTCGATTCGATACTAGATGGCGCTGTCGGTTGAAAGATTAGTCATGTCATTTTCCAGAAAGCTCTCCTCGCTCTGTTACCCGACACTAGATGGCGCTAGTGCCAGACGTCAACTTAGGCGCGCAACAATATTAAGAGTGTGACCGGAGACTTTTTGTGTTCTTCTGAGGCGAGTTTTGCAGAACTTAACTCCGACCACATGGACAGTTTCCAAGAGCTTGTCACTCTCAATAGCCATAGCTACAGAGTGGATCTGTACCAGTTGCCATGAATCATACATATCTATATTCCTAATTTCCGTGCCTACAACTCTCAAGAAAATTATGAAGTCTATTATAAGTCAATGCGCTTTACTATTTTCGGCTGCTTAACCACTTACCGTCGGATGTGATATTAATTAAGCACTGGCTTTGAACAGCTTAAAAATGGAACTGCAAGTTGGAAACATTCTTTTTCTTGATATCATACTCGTAATGTAAAACTTAAACCTTTGTCTTTATCTTTATTCAATATATTTGTCGTAAGTGTATACGTAAACAATTATTTCATACTATTATTTTATAAAATTACCAGGACCTTGCACCCAATTCCTTTGTGCACACTGCATAACATCCGTTATCGGTGATTTGGAAACTCTGAATACCCTGGTGTCTGCTGGACCCTTGGGTTCCGTTGCCCTATTCCAAATTGCCCTAACTTCAGCTCACCGCTTTCTCTTGTGCCTAGTTTTGCGTTGAAGCCCATCAACACCGTATAGTGAGTTTTGGAGGAATGTATGGCTCTAAAGATATCCTCATACATTTCCTCCACCTACTTATCTGGATGTGCCAAGGTTGATGCGTAAACCTGTATGACCTTCAGCGAATACCGTTCGGTGATTCAAGTATCAGGTACGCGACCCTCGTCGACACACTCTCAATCTTTACAACGTTGTTGAGATGAGAATTGTAAACGATAAATCCCATACCTCCTTGGGACAGATGGTCGCCCTCCCGGTGATAGAACAAGTTGTCGGATTCGAGGTTTACAGTGTCCTCCCCCTCTCTTCGGACCTCGGAAAATCCTATTATATGCTAGTGCACTTATCTACCTCTTCTTTCAGTTCCAGTAGCTTCTCGTCAGTCCCCAGGGTGCGTGCGTTATATGTTGCCAGGTCGAGTCAACGTAGGTGGTAACCGAACCTTCACCGAAGATTCTTAGCACCCCCTGCCCCGCCGTTATCATGGTTACCACCGTAGCCAGAAATAGCGGGGCTGCCGGGGACTGGGGGCCATTGATTTGTGTCGTTCCTCACGGGGGCATGTTTGCTATAATTGCCACGCTTGGCGAGTGGGTTGGTAGCCGCAGTTTTTTTATTGTATAATTGTTGTTATCAGGAAGATGCTGCTGCCCATCTCCTGCCTGCCTCCCTCTGTCACTTCTTACGACACCCACGGGAATATATAGGGTAGTGATATTCTCAGCCGCCACTACACGGAAACTATAAGATGGTTTATATTATTAATTATAATTTATAATTCATGGCCGCTAAGGGGATAGCTCAAGACTGCCTCCTGTGAAATTTTATTCCGCCTCTGATCTAGACTCACTTATCTCGTATTTAAGTAAGCGATGTAGATAACTCGGCAGCTTTTATTTTCTCACGGATGTGCCGGCTCAAACTGGGGTCGTACCACGACCTCACAGAATACCAGCTTGAAGTAGAAGTTAACTTCTGTGTTTCGCCTCGTGAGTGCAGGCGAGACTCAATCCCCCCTCTCCCTTAACATGACAGCGGAGTTAAATAAAACACTACCCCAGGACCAGTACTCCTGGTGACGGAGAATCCCTCACTGAGTGTCTCTGAGCACCAAGGCTGCCCCGCGTATACTGGGGGGGGGGGGGGGGGCAAAATTAGCTCAAGACTGAAACTGCTCGGGACAATCGGAGCAAAAAGACAAAGACAAAACACGCTGTCAATTTCTGAACATTAGGGGACTACATTCAAACCTTAACGCCGTCCACTACCACCTGTAGACGTCCTTTACCATCCTATGTCTGCACGTAGACAGCGACGACCATCCCCGCGTCTACGGGTGCCTCTGTAGGTCTCATAGTGGTAATGCAGACATAAATCGATTCATTGACCACGTACAAACGACTGCAGACTCCGTGCTACAACAGGTCTCATCCGCAGAGATCGTGATACTTGGTGATTTTGACGACCACCATAATCATGCGGGTAGATCTGTTTATGACTTTGCCTTGGCATATGGTTGACACAACTGGTTACGACGCCTAAGCAGGCTCCAGATGTAGGGGATCGTGCACCTTTCCTGTTAGACCTCCTGCCGACCTCTTATCCGGACGGATATCAGGTCTACGTCAATGTCCCTCTTGGCTCTTCGAACCAGTGTCTAATCCGGAGTACGGTGCCACTCACGCTCCCATCGCGGTTATGTAGGTTGCCTGTAGGTTGCCGCCGTATTTAGCACTAGAGGGCGGCCGGTATTGGGACAGGATACGGTCTTTTTTGCAAACTCTTGAGGGTAGGTTTGCTTCTCTCTGGATAATCCCAACGTTGTTGCTGATTCAGTCGCTGATGTGGTACTTCAGGAAATGGAATTATTTATTTCATTATCTGTGGTGCCTATCGGAGACAGAACGTAGCAAAGAATTGGTCACTCCTTTAAAATTGCATCACGCCATAAGCAGGGCAATATTGCACTATCGTGCTTGGTCTGACGCATCAACGTCTCGGGATGCAAGCACCAGCGCTCTTAAAAATGAGTATAATTCCGCCCCTAGGTTCTTCAAAAGTATCATTGTCAAGGCAAAGTTAGAGCACATCGGCAAAATTGTCGAGAAACTAGTTCGACTTCCTTCGGGAATACGTGCATTCTAGTCTCACGCCAAGGCTGTCCAAGGGAACTTCTATCATCGATCTTAGCCATCTCTACACAGGGAGGACCACTCACTGACTTATACCGCAACGGAAAATGCCGATCTGCTAAGCTCTCTCTTTGCATCCAACTTGACTCTCGATGACGGGGGCAACACACCGTCAATCATCCTGCGGTGTGAGTGCTCCATGCAGGACGTGCTGTTTACACAACGCTCGGTGCGCAAAACACTCCCTTCCCTGAACGTCAACAAGTAAAGTGGGCCTGATCTGATCCCACCTATTGTCCAGAAGACGTGTGCTCGGGAATTGGCACTGGTTTTAATGCGTCTTTGACGGTACTCCTACACGCTAGGCGTAGGCCCGAAGTCATGGAAGACAGTTTTGGTGCACCCGATTCCTAAAAGAGGCGACCGCTCAGGCCCGCTACTCCAACTACAGGCCTATCGCTATCACCTCCTTGTTCTCCAAAATAATGGAAACATTTATTTACTGTTAGCTCACGAGATACCTTGAAGATCACCAGTTGATTAGTGACCGTCAGGACGGTTTCCATCGGAGTCTCTCAGCTGGTGATCTTCTGGGATACCTAACTCATAGATGGACTTAGGCGGTAGAGTTCTTCGAACGGCTATTCTGATTTGGATGCTATCCCACCAACGCTGTTTCTTCTGAATATCAATGATATGTTACAAACCAGTAACATTCGCCGTTATTCGAACGATAGCACTGGTGATGCTTCAGACACCAGCCGTGCCACCATTTCTCGGGAAAACATCGCTGAGTAGCGTAACAAACTAGCGTTGTTAAACAAAGTCTCGGATTCAGGGCGACATTTATTACGTGTTTATCGCTAAACAAACCCCTTTGGCTTTGTCTCTCCTATTTAAAAAACTCACTTTCTATACATCTATATATACCTGCTCATACATGCTCGTCGATTAAGGGTACTTTTATTTCAGCTCATTTTCAATATAATGCTAATTTGGTCGATAAACTTCCGTCTAAGGTGTCGCTTGCTGACTCTGCCATTCACTACCACAACAGAAGTTTGCTTTCTTTTTTCACTTCACTAGTTTTTTGTGCGTTCTGTTTACATGACGAACCCACCGAAGCATGATTTTCCAAATCCTGGTTAGCGCTAACGCAGAATAACCGCATTTCAATAGCTTTTTTTTCACTCTCATTCTTCTTCTGCAACTCGCAAATTTTACTACCATACATTGAGCTATACAATAAACATAACATCTTCAAAAATTTTGACCTATCTTCAAGTAATGTTAAGTTTTTAAAAATAAGTATTCCAATATACGAAGCATTAAAGTGATAAAATTTACATCCCAGCACTATAAAAATTCTTATTTTCTTTATTGAAAGAAAATTTTCCCTATATGAGCGCAGATACTTAAATGTTTCAGGCCGTTTCCTGGGCCTAGAATTGGTGTCGTCAAAGCGTGCTAGAAGGCTGCGTTGTAGCGTGGCTGTCTTCGTGTGTTGGGCCTTCCTAGTAGCCTGTGGGCTCGCCATATACCTCATTTGCGTCGCCTTGCCAAGGCAGCAGACTCGTCTAAACATAGGTAAACCGTTTACTTAACACTTAGCTCCGTAATTGGCTTCTAGATCATACTAACAATTAATTTTCCCTTCCTAACAAAGCTAGTCAAACGTGACAAGTCTTTACCTTTCTTATCTTTACGTATTTATTCGACATTTATATTTTTATCGATTTCTAAGTTCTTTAATGTAATCTCTATAACAATGTCCTGCTATTTTTAAACATTTGCTGGAGAGTTTTTTTTTGTTCTTCACCTTTACACATTCAATCTAATTTTCTTATATCACCTACCTTTATCTAAAAGTTATAATTTCTTTTGGTTAGGTTTAAAGGAGACGTGGTACCTGCGCCGGGGTGACTGGCAGGCGATGCCTCCATATGAAATAAATTTTCTAAAGCTACCGCTGTCTTATGTCATCATCGGCCACGCTGCATCCAATTACTGCAATCAACTGTACTCTTGCATAGAGCAAATGCTTGTTATACAACAAGCATATTTGCGAAGAGGAATGGCCGACATCGGTCCTAATTTCCTAGTAGGCGGAAATGGATACGTTTTTGAGGGTAGAGGTGCAAATGTCATTGGTGCTATGGTGACTTCTTGGAACGTCAAGAGCATCACAATAATGTTTATGGGAAATTATGTTTTAGATATGCCGGATCAGGCACAGTTTGATCATATAAACATCCTCTTAGATGTCTTAGTAAAAGAACAAGTGCTGCGATCAGACTACACTGTGTATGGCCAGTGTCAAGTACGACCGGACACATATGCCCCCGGTCGACATATAACGGAGAGAATGAAATACTTTCTCCATTGGAACCCTCATAACATAAGTGGATGCTTAAGTTGACATAAATAATAATGATTCTACAATTGATTGTGTACTAGACAGTGCTGATTTTTTCATTATTTTACTTGAATATTTAGGTGAGTTGAAACGAAGGCGATTGAGCGAGCGATTTGATATATTATAAGGTCTGTGAAAATGTACGAATAATGGAAAACATGGTGGCTTTGAACTAGCTTTATAGCCCTTGGATTAGTCTGATAAGATGTCGCACTAAAATGAAAAGTCTGTTTTCCCCTTCGTACGTTCGCATGTCATTTCATAAGATTTACTCATACGATACCAGATGTTAAATGGAAAATGTAGACAAATTTTATAAATGGTTTTTTAAATTTTAAATACGAAAAATAAAACAAATGAAAACATAAAAATAAAAAATAAAATGCATTTATTTGCTGTTTTATTTCATTATCTATATGTGTATATTGTTCAATCTCTTAGAAATTAATCAAGATGACTAAACATTTTAATTCACGTAAAAAATACGGTTTTAAGTCATGTTAAAATTTATGGATTTAATACATAGAAAAAATAAATCCATTACATACTGGCTGCAATTTTTTAATATAATTATCGAACTATCTGTTAGAAAGAAGTGTCAGAAATTCAAATAAGTAAAAAATGTAAAATAGCAAGTAAATGTTCACTTTATTATAAAAAAGCTGCTTAGTATAATAATAATGTGTATGGTGAATGTCTAAAGGTTTTCTTTACTTATTACCTACCATCTATAGCTGTATATGTAAAATAAAGTACTAGAGCTCAAACAAATTTAATTTAATAACAGGGAACAAGAGTAACTGTCTACAAAAATGAATATTAAAACTTTCTAACGTCAGTTAATACTAAATCTATGTTAATACTAAAAACTCTGTGTGTTTTTTAATTTAAATTTAAACGAGTTTTAATCAGGCGTTACTTTCCAGAAATCCACTATATTAGAGATATTAAAAATAAATTTTCTCAGACTCGCGTAATAAGATAAAGCGATGTGTCTTACCTAGTTTGAAGACTACTACTCGCCCTACTTCAATTGCGTGCACTATCTCTTCAAACTAGATAGGTACGACACATCATTTTAGTTTACTACGCGGATCTGAGAAAAATAATATTTAATACCTTTAATTCTTAAATTAATGATAACGGTAAGCAGAAGTGGCAATGGACCAGTCATATTGCTCGAAAAACAGACCAGCGATGTGGATAAAAATTTCTCGAGAGGCAGCAACGTACTTTATAAAAGACTTTTGTCACATACGGTAGTATATCGGGCTCTCCCCCAAACCCTCCCACACAAAAAGACATGCAAACTCGGCACACAGAATGTAAAGTAAATTAAAGTGTTAATTTAGGTAATTTTATCGGCAATTTTTATTGTCACGAACCTCAAGCTCGTAACAATACGTTTGCCTGTGGCCGGACCACTCGGACACTGTGACGTAGGCGCGGACCCAGAGCTTGTTGTTTTGCAATACTTCCTTGACATGCTGAAGCTCAGAGGCCAGACGGTTTCTGTCACAGATCCCTTGTGCTCTCTGAAACAAAGATCTACCCACGGTAGCTAACTGTGAATGGTGTGATGGTTAGATTTACCTCGGTTTGTCTTGGTTGATATGGGCCTTTTTTCTACACACAGTGCGACCAATAGTTTGATCAGGATTTCGGATGAGTAAAACATCTAGGAAAGCTAGAATTATTTGCCTCTACCTAACTCCATTGTGATTTGTATTTTAGAGTTTATGGAGTTAAAGTGATCTAAAAATGCAGTTACTTTGTCAGATAGTAAAATTATGAAGGTGTCGTCTGTCGTTCTAGCTTCCTAGTTATAATTGAGTTGCAGTCTTTAATAGGTAGGCACGTGAATAGTGATTAGTGACTGAACAACAGAACTTATCATAGTTTCATTGTCAGCGAGATGTACGTTTATCTCACTTTTTACACTTATTTCTCTTTTATCCCACTGCAAGACTTTAAAATACAGTAAGCTCGTTCTGCCTAGATCGGACCAAAAATTAAAATTCAAAAACTGAAGGTAGCCGGGCTAACCATGACATTGGGACGTCAAATCACATCTCACCCTACCCTACCCCGTGACCATGGGTGCTGTAAAGCACTCGAAACGTCGGGAATTAAAATAATTTAAAAATAAGTTAATTAAACGAAATAAAATCCGTATTTACTGTCATGTTTTACTTATCATTAGTTATCGTTACTTACTTCATATTATTATTTACTGAGTAGATGGAACCCTCAGTGCGATTGTGTAATTCTGATGGTAATCGTTTTTCGTTGGTCGGTGGTAATCACTTAGCAACTTGCGTTATATTTTATACTAAGTCTCTTGAACTTAAAATAAAATATTATTGTTAAAAGATAGTCGCTTCTATTTGATTCTATTTACACAATGAAACAAAACCAAACTTCAGACGTCAAAAGGAAGCTAACCAAGATAGCCACCAGCTACACAATCGCTCTGCCGATTTAGGTACAATAACCCATGCATCTATTAAATGGTATGATTTACAGATATGCGCTTTCCTGTGTACGTATGGTATATTATGAGGAACAGCTCCCGAGCCGAGCAACTCTCCTGCCTTGTTGCTCTCCTGGTACTGATCACATGTGTCACACTGATTGTTTACTTTGCGGTGAATGCCTCAAATAACCCGGAGGACTATATAGACGTAGGTAAGATTTTAAATTACTGGTTGTTGCTGGTAGCAAGCTCTCAAAGAGTTCTGTTGTGTTTTTTAGTAATTTTACTTCGGTATCGTTATAACTAGTGTTTCGTGGTTATTTTTGTTAGTTACAACCTTTTTTATTGAATGAGAGTGACAAACGAGCACATAGACCAACTGAAGGAAAGTGGTTGTGTGGCCCATAAACATCTACATCTTCAACTACGAATCAAAACGCAGATGCATTGTCACCCTAAGACAACAAGAAGAGGAGAAGAGAAGAGGACTAAGATGGAATGCCTCGTTTTCACTAAAAAGAGTCTCCGGTTCTCTACACTCACCATACGAAACACAGGATCGTTAAGCTGCTATTTTACGCTAGTATAATTTATTATAATATATATATTCTGCGAGAGCGTTGTCCATGTCCGGTCATGCCGACCCATTCGTGCTACAACTATAATATGGCTGCAGCGTGGTTCTAACAAATAATAAAAACGTTTGGATTGCCACCTCAAATCTAATGTTGACAGCGCAACAACACTATTAACTATTTACAGCGTTTATCTAAAATATTTAGAAAAAGCGTCAATGTAACTATGTTTATTACCTTCTTGACATTGCACGAGCACATGAGGCTAAAATTACACGGAAGTTTAGAATTTAACTAAGAATATTACCATACCTCCTTGTTCACTGAATCTCGCATTCACAGATTTCCTATTTTCTGGTCGAAACTATTGTTTTAAGTAAACTTCAATTGCACTGTCTATGATAAATAATTATTTTGATGAGTAGAGTTCCATAAAATAAGAGGGTTTTCGTGAGTGTCCCAACACCTTAAAAGTTGGTGAGCCCCTGGTACAGATCATTTATTGTGCGTCATTAGTCATAGTAGCATGTTGCTATAAATAAAATTATTATTGCCGAAAATCACTAAATATAGCATTAACTTGCCTAACCGCAAAAATATATTTTTTATCTGTTATTATTATTAAAGATAAATGTAATCAAATTAATGCATTAGTGATAAAAAGAGATAAGAATATTATTGCAGACTAAACGATTTATTGTTTTGTGAGTTTTGCTTCCAACTTTTTCAATCAAAAGATATATTTTCTTATGGTAGAATTTCTGTAAATACTGCAGGTAATATAAATACTAGCAACTTGCCTTAGCTACGCTTGCACGTGGTGTTAACTTTTCACGAATAAAATATACACCTAAATATAGTTAACTATGATATATACGACAAACATCGTTGAAAAATTCTTTAAATCGTGATTTTGGCTTCGCAAACTCGCAAACACAAACACACAAACGCGAATACTCAAATTCTAACACTCCTTAGGTTCTAATTCAACAATTAAAGCAGTGTTTATAATGTTTTTATATAAAATATAAAATACCAAAAAATATAGCAAAATATGTAATAAACAAAGACGCTAAATCGTTTATTATACAATTTTTCCGTATTATAAGTATTTTCGCAATTGTAAATATTATAATAATTGAGACGTTTTATCTGAAGTTTTTGACCCAATTACATTATAGAGAAATAATAACAAAAATATTTTTTTAAGTGTCTATTGTGTTAAAATATTTTATTCAAAGTATGTGATAAAATAATCGAATGCTACTTGTATAGTCATTTGTTGTATTCTATTATTTATACTTAAAGCTTGTGAACAAATGCACCTAAATACTATTATATTAATGATTTCTTATATTTACGCGAACACTACACATTGAAATAATACTAGTTTTTACGGAATTTATCGCGTATATTTAACTTTTTAAATACCCGACGTTTCGAACGCTTTACAGCACTCATGGTCACGGGCGGGACTGAGATGTTCAACGTCCATATGTCATAGTTAACCGCGATTACCATAGATTAAAATTTAACTTTTGTTCCGATCTATACAGTATGAACTTATGGTATCTTGAAGTCTTGCAGTTGTATGCTTGGGTTGGGATTTAATTTTATTTATTATCGGATCCCAAGCAGATGGTAGCACCCAGCCATCTTCTCTATTGAAATTAGGATGTTTTTTGATTTCAATAGCCTCGCGAATCAGCCTTGGAAGGAATCGGTGTTCTTTAGCGAGGATTTGCGGTCTATCAAATCTGATGTAGTGACGGGGACGATCCTGTAAGTGTTCACAGACTGCAGACTTCCCGGAGCGTCGATTCTTCACATCAGCTATATGTTCTTTAACGCGGGTTTTTATTGATCTTTTAGTTTGTCCTATGTAGGAGAGACCACATTCACAATCAAGATTGTACACTCCTGCATCTTGCAGAGGGACATTACACTTGACT